CGGGGTTTGTGAGTAAGGAGGGAAATGGTTTTTTTGAGTTTTTGATTATTTGGTATTTAAGAAAGAAAAATAGTATTTTTGTAATATTTTTTTGGTTTTAATTTCATTAAGGGTATTAAAGTAAATTACAATTAATTATTTATTTTTTATTTTTTTGGTATTCAAGTAAGCAAAAGTTGGGATTTGAAATAGTGTCCCCTAAACGTAATATATACTTTTTATTCAAAAAAAATAAAATATTGCGTAGACCCAAATTTCTTATTTGGGCTTTGGCCGACTGTGACTTATGAGTCATAAGTCATGAATTTGGAAGGATGTTGGTATTTTCTCAAGAAAATAAAAATCAAACGTGAGGGCGATGAATAATGAGACGTGGAATTAGATGTTGACTGTAATTTTTTTTTTTTTTTTTTATAAGAAATTTTGTTGACTGTTAGGTAGATAGATGCATTAACCATTCAATTAAGTTTGTTGATCTACTTTATGATTAATTAATATTAATAATTGGGAAATTATGGTTTTAATTTTTTGTCACTCTATGTTATAATTTCCTGCAATAATGATTTAAAAGGTAAAGTTGCTTTAGTTGGTCGCGCGCTTTATTGTGATTAATTTTGGTCTCTAAAGTCGTTGTTACGTAAAGTCGTCGGTACATAAATATCCACATAAATTTAATGAAATGCTTTTTACGGTTTGAAAATTGGTATTTACGGTTTATAACAAAAAACACTTTATCTTTCTAGAACCCCAAAACTTCCCAAAAAAATCCAAAAATCCCCAAACTGCAAATAGCAAGAAAAAAAATCGAAAATTCAAAATCAAGCTTGAAGAAGGGTTGGGCTTCGATTTTTTTAGGTAATTTCGATACTTTTATGTGTAATATGCATTGGGTGGATCGATTTCGGAACCAATTTCATGTTAAAAAGCCCTACAGATCGATTTGTAGGGCTTTTTTTCGCAAAAACATGTTGGTACGCCCAAGATGGTCGCCTTAGGCGTTCAATTAAATTAGTCATTTATATTTATTCAGAAAGTTAGGTTGAACAAATGGTTGTACTTGGCGCTGCAGTTGTCGTACACTGAATCAAAAGAATGACAAATGGTGTATCATTCATCATCGTTAGATTCGATGGGACAAAGGACACGTGCAGCCCAACTAACCCCTCAACTAGACAAAAACACCCCCACCCCACATTAATTAGGCACACAAAGTACAATGAGAAAAATCTCAATGGACACTTCCATTCATGTTCAAATGACGAAATTGCCCCTTGCCAAATTTTGGTTCCTTGAAAGCAAGTAAGCACCGTACAATCTCGATAAATTAATAATCTCTCTTAAATATAATTTCTCTCGGTTCTGATTCGATGAAAACGTACTAAATTATTAATTCGATAATTTAATATTACGTTAAATTAAATGAACGTTTGTTAGCCCTAGCTCTATTTATTTGTACGAATTATGGATCGGCCCAATTAGCCAATTAACTACTCTCCACCTCGGGCCTGGACCGTCGATGCCCAATAGCAAGGAGACTATAATGATAGCTCGAGTCTGTTCAGATAAGGGCTCTGATTCCATTACCAGCTCCAGCCTTAACTAGAGTTATACTCTAACCATGAATCATAGTTAGACTCTAATTAAGACTCTATCATCGACCTAATTAAAAATAGTCTTCCCGATCCGTTGTGAAAGGTATGCTTTGATTATTTATCTGAGCTCTCTATAATTCGTGTGACACATCATTCGTTTTGCCCAGTCACTTAATCTATGAGTTAGAGGGGTTTCCGCTGGAGCGACCTCCGATTTAATTCACGTACCTTATTTTGGAGGTCTAAAGCACATGCATAAAGAGGCTTCAACCTAACTTAGATCATCTATTCGTGTACAGTGATCTATCCACGTGTTCCCATCCAATATACACAAGATGAGTGATACGACATCAATATACTAGTAAAAATCTTGTATAGATCATCCACAATTAGGTGAATAACAAATTATGAAACATGTGATAATAAATATCATGGTGCAAATCTTTGATTACCATTTCTAGTGACAATTATCATGATCACATTCAAAAGTCAAAAGAATACCCAAAGAGTCAAACACTAGCAACACAAGGCCATTATTGTCTTTCCACAACCCCAATGGAAATGAATAAACAAGCAAAATACATTTGTTCAGCTTTCGTTACCGACGTGGCTTTCTGAAGAGAAACTACAGACTACATACACTGAGAAGGGTGATTGATACTTCCGAGGCGGAAAAATCGTGAATTAATTATTGCAGAAAGAAGAAATTGGATCGCCGGAGCAGCGCCGGAGCCTCCGTTATAGTGGCTGATGGCGCCGTTGAAACTCTTCGTGTTCACCGTACTTGTTTCCCTAATTCTCGTCCACATCGGAGTTGCCGCCGATGACGGCGAAGTCAAAGTCACCGGTTCCGACGATCCTGACTCATCCATCCTGGAGCAATTCAAGTCGAAGATCCATACTCTCGGTTAGTGCGGTTCGAGATTTCCGGTTCATGATTGAAAAAACCGTGTTGATAATTTTACTTTGAAGCTTGGTATTGATTTAATTTTTGAGTTAAAAGGAGCAGATCTTGTGAAATTTGAAATAGCAATAGATACAGAACAAATGATCGGTGAAATTTTTGAATAGAGCATTTGGAACTAGTAATTTGAGCATGATGCTACTGTATACCTGCATTTGGAGTTTGATGCAGGTTATTTTGGAATTTGTGCATTTTTTTTCAATAGCGCTTAAAATGTTGAGAATCGATTATGTTTAAGAGAATGTCGTTGTGGCTCAATCCATTGAAGTGAAATCGAAGAGTTAAACTTCCTTATTGTGGAGTTTGATATTATTTGAATCTGGGGTTGTTTATGTGTAAAATCAGTTTTTTGTTGGTTACGTAAAACTTGTGTGCGTTGGTTGTGTGTTCCGTTCCGCCTTTTGTTGTTATGTCATGTGACGTAATGATTTACTTGCTTTTTTCATTGACAATGGCTTTCCGTATTCTCTTACGAAATTCTTTTGTATGAAGAATCTGATATTGAGAAGAAAACTCGAGAAATAAAGGACAAAAATGAAATGATTGCTGCGAAAGAGAAGCTAATCAAAGAAAAGTCAGATAGCATCGTGTCATTAGAGAGCGAAATTTCTTCTCTACAAGTGAGTGGTTGGGGTCCTTTTAACAAAAAGATGGTTATTTTGTTCTCGTACAGCATTAATTTCTATGCTAATTAATTGGCTCGTGATATATATGTACTCAGAAAATTCATTGTTTATTTCTTAGAGCAAGGGAAAATTAGATGCTGCAGAGCAAATTGGAAAGGCACATGCAAGAGCTGGCGAATTGGAGAAGCAAGTGGAGAAGCTCAGAAAAGAAATCGATTTAAAATTGAAGGAAAAGGATCGATTAGAAACCCGAACAACTGAAGCTGAAAAAAAGGCTTCTGTGTTAAATTCTAAGTTTGAGAATGTAAGTCGCTTCTGCATAGAATTCCCTGTTTCTTATAAAGTTAAAATACAAAGTAAACTTTGAATCTTTGGTCTTATATAGTTGAATTTCCGTAATGATATATTCTGTCCATGATCGTTGCTTGTGAAATCTATGTTTTCTTGAATTTATGTGTTGTCTTTCACTTGATGGTTGGTAGTTTTTGCATTCCTTTGGAAATCTTGTTTTTATTTTCTGGATAGAGTTTAATACAAATGTCATTTACTGGTGTGTGTGTGTGTGTGTGTGTGTTACAGCTTCAAAAGATTATTGATGACCAGAAAACAAAGATACGTAAAACTCAACGTGCTCTTCAAATTGCTGAGGTATGCTATCAATACATCAACTACTTGCTGTATAAACTGTTTGTTAGTGGGATGATTGATAAATGAATACCTACTTTTATCACTCTACAGGAAGAACTGATGAAGGCAAAGTTTGAAACAATATCCAAAGCCAAAGAGTTGATGGAGGTACAGCTAGTTACATTTTTCTTGCCACAGTGCATGCTATACGTGTTTTAGTCATAATTTATCTGGGATGTAGACACGTAGTGCTAAATTCATTTTTGTGATATGTACGATTAGGTCCATGGTGCTTGGTTCCCGCACTGGCTTGTAGTTCACATTGCTAACTATCAGGTATCGGTTACATTTTATTACAATCACGTTCTTCAATTCCCTTAAGTATATTAATATATATTTGTCTTGGAATATCAGTCACTGTTAGAGGAGAACTGGAAAGTGCATGGAAAACCTGCTCTAGAGACGGTAATTCAAAAGGCAAGTTTTTGAGGTGCATGCGCACCATGTGTCATCTTCGATATTTTTTTCCCTATGTATAGTAATGCTATTTATGTCATCGCACATGGTTTCGTGTAGTACACTGCTAATTGATCTGTTTCTACCGATTTATTAGGCTTCTGAAAAGAAGGCCCAAGCTGAAGAGTGGGCGGCACCACATGTGGAAACAGTTAAAACTGTGAGTTGTCTCTCAATTAATCGTTGAATTTCGCAATTCTACTTCCGCTAATTTGAATAATGCTTTCTTTATATCTTCTGTATTAAGAAATGGGTACCAGCAGCTAAGGAAAAGTGGATAGTGATAATCACAAATGTTAAACCGCAAATCCATACGTTAAAGACAAAAACTGTCGAGATATACGGAGTTTCAAAGGACGCCATGACTCCTCACATCATCAAAGTGCAGGAACTTGCAGATCCTTATTTTCAGGTGAGATAGATAATTAAATATCCATCAATTTCGTTTACCTCTTCCACCTTCAATTAGCTGAAGTAAATTTGTAACTTTTCAGAAATTGAAGAAAATCAGCAAACCATATATCGATCAGGCCGCCACTGCTGCAAAACCTCATACTGACAAATTATGTACTGCTTTGAAGCCCCATACTGATAAAGCCGTCCATGCTTACGGAATATTCCTCAAATCAGCAAAAGTATATCATCATAAGGTACGTGAATTTTTCCTTCGGCCTATTTTTTTTACTTTTTTTATTTTTTTAAAATTTTATCTCGGATGAAGATTCAAGACAGAGTTGAGGAGAAACTGAAGAGTCATGAGCTGACAGAAGCTCTTGCTACGAAAGAGCTGGTTTGGTTTTCTGTAAGTTCTCGGAAAAGTTTTATTGCATTGCATCCAATTCTTTAGTGTGAAGATTGATACATTTATTAGGCTTGTTAACCAAGGTTTCATGTTTTAGGCCTCTGCGGTGCTGGCTTTACCGTTATTTTTTCTGTTGAAAATATGCTCAGCCGTTTTCGGGTTAGTAATTTGGTCCCGTTTGCTTATTGATTTCTACCTCCAATTTCGATCTCGATGTATTCCTACCAAGGTTCTTATTGACATTTTTGTATGGCAGCAAAAAGACAAAAAAGCCCATCCAAAATGGTAATTCAAACAATCCTCGTCGCAAAGGAAAGCGTGTCCACTCAGACAAGTAAAGCCAGTCAAAGCACCCCCACTGTTTGTTTAATTTAACACAAGGTGTGCTTTAAGACTCGAGCTAATCTTTCCTTATACAATGGCAATGTGCTCGTGTCCCATGTACGTTATAAATGCTCATATACATTGGATTATTTTGATTATTCGTTTCACTGTGGATCAGGTTTAGTGGGGCCCGCCTCCTAGGACTCGACTTAAAGACCTCCCTGTATGCTAGAACAGAGTATTGGGGGATACATTGCAGTTTTAAGAATGTTTTCGACGTGTAATTCATAATTATGTAGATCAGGCATTTTCTGTATCATGGCACTCGATATCTATGTCATTCAGGTGTTCGGGTTTTTTTTTTTTTTTTTTTAATTATCCTGTTATGTCTATTCGAAAACTGTCTTTCACCACGGTTTAAACTATTCGAACATGCTGCGAAGTGTAATATTTGTTTTTGTTTGGCAGGACTTTTTTTTAGTAGATTCCTTCCTTTTGATTGAGTACGATGTGTTTTTTACTCGATTCGTGTGTAGATTTTTACCGTGTAAAATTATTTGGTGTAACAAACAAAGAACATGATATTTCTGTCATGATCAAACTGATCAAAACACCACAAAATCCTATATTTAAACAAATGCTTACAATAATAAAAGCTAAAGTTTTCTTGATAACAATAATTAACTAACATTCAAACACAAAATAAACTTAGAAACATTTCTCCATACCTACCTTACCAGTTTATCATACACTTGTCTCCAAATTCTCACCACATTAATTTTCCTCTTTAATTAAAAGAAGGCCAATAGTTATCCAAATCACCACACTGATCCATAAACCTGTTATTATTGTTCGGCGTGTTTCCACCGTCGATCAAATGATGATCATATCCTCCTGCACCCCCATGAACGCACGAGCCCACATTAATTTGTTGGTTCATGAGTGGCGGCTGAGCCGCCGCGGCACCACCACCTAGGTTCAAGTTCAGGCCGGAGATAGTGAAACAGCCGCCGCCTCCCCCGGCGGCATAGTTGACCGCAGTGCTGGTGGAGGCGGCGTTGAAAACCTTGTTGAAATCTTGAATGTGATTATGATGTGGTGGAGTGATGATATTATTGTAGTAGTTTCTTGATGGGAAGTGGAAATTATTATTATCAGGTGGTGGTGGTGGTGGTGGCTGAATGAATAACTGTGGTAATAATTGCATGGGATTATTATTATTATTAGTACTGTGGGGTAATAATATTTCATTAGTGTAGTGGTAGTTAGGATTATTAATAACTGCCCTTGATAACTGGTTTGAACTGTATAATTTCTTCACTCCACCACCACTTTTCTGGAACACACGGCACACCACCCATTCATCTTGCTGCATTTATATTTATATATATTTAAGTAATATAAATCAAATCAAGAATCCTTAATATTAGCATTTGAAAAATATAATTATATATATGTATGTATACCTTGGTGGTTCGATAAGCAGATTTGGAATGAAATCGATATTCGTGCATGACCCAGTTCGATTTTTCGCCTCTAGGAGCTCTTCCTTTGTAAAAGACCAAAGTTTTCTTCATCCCGACCAACTCCGATGTGTTGCTGTTGTATATCTCCTTATCTTTTCCGGTGGTTTTCCAATATCCGGTGGTGGTGGCTCGGTTTGTCCTTACTCCGGTCGGATATTTCCGGTCGCGCAGGCTGAAGAAATACCACTCTTTTTCTCCCATTTTTGCCTTCCCTATATACATACACGAAAAGAAATTAATTTCGTATCGATCATGTGGAAGTTATTATAACTAAACCCTAGCTAGGGTTTTAGTGGTGTTGGAAAGTTACCTGGAAGATCCCACGGCTCGCATTTGTTGAGATCGACGTCTGCCACGGCTCTTGCTGTGAAGTTTGCATCGGAAATCTTGTTGATCAGATAGTACGTTATCAGCTCTTCATCGGTCGGATGAAATCGAAATCCAGGTGGCAGTTTCTCCTCCATCACTACTGCTTGATCTCTTCCTTCCATAATTAATTAGATAATTATCTTGCTCCGGCCTCCTAGTTCTCGTGTCGCTTTGTTCTTTTCTTCCTAGTATGTTAGCTGAATATTATTTTCAAGAAATATTGGAAATAATTAATAATAGATCACCAACAAAAAAAACCCTAGCTAGTTAGATATTTGTGTCAAAGAAATGAGGATGAAATTCAACAAAAACCCTAGTTTTAGTTTGTTCGACGAGAAAATGGAGCGATTTTGCTTACTTGTTGATCACATGATGGACGGACGGACGGAGAGAAAAGAAGTACGAACAACGAGAGATTTAATTAGCAAAAGTTTTGAGTGTTGCTAATTGAGGTTAGGAACAATATTTGGAATATAAATGATGATGATGATGTGAAGCAAATTATTACAAGAAATTAAGAAAGAGTGGTAAGACTAATTTTACCTACTATGGATCTTCACCTACACGGTACTTGACCAATTATATTGCTGCATCGAACTATTTTAATTAATTAATTAATAAATTAGTGTGTCGAAAAGTTGTTAATTATTGCACCAGAGCGACCCCATTAGACAGGTGGTCGAAAATTCGAAACTAATGCTGTTCCAATGCTACGACTGCTTCAATTAAAGAAAGAAAGTCGAAAAAGATTAAAGATTAGATTTTTTTTTTGTTGAGTATATTTATGTATGTATATAAGAAGAGTAGAGATGTTTGTAAGTATAAATTTGGTACAATAATAATATGTCAGATTTGAGACTTCACACAAACAAAAGATTGCCTGACGGCATAAACGATTAATGGTCAGCATTATTTGCTTGAAAATTTAAGCTAAGACGAGTGTCCCGTTTTCGATTACACGTCTATCTATAAATGGTTTAGTAACTTATTGTTCTACATCGAGTTTTTTAGAATTTTAATTTAACAAAATTCATAATTTAATCTGTCAAGTACTCTAATATCATAATCCAAACATATCAGCTACCAGCAAAATTATGCATGCTTTCAAGAATGATCAAATATATGTATGTATATATGTATATATACTGCAATACGCAATTGGCTACTTAATTCATTATGTGAAAACCCTAATCAATAATCAAAAGAAGGCAAAAAGGTATCTTGTTTTGTTTTTACTATGGGAATTTCGAAGCAACTAATTCGTTTTTCAATATCAAGTTTTCGTGCTGTTTTGAAAGTAGTGCCACTAAAGATCTCGATGAATTCGGAGCGAACATTTTTGTATTTTAGCGATTTGTAATTCAATATAGTGGAGCCGTTATAAATCTTGCAACGATAGGTTTAGTATAAAAATCATTAATTAAAACGAGCTTTTAAAGAACAGTCCGTCGAATGCAAGAGTAGCTATCCATCTCTTTAACTTGTCTAACACTTCAAATTATTCATTATTTTTTAAAGACTCATTATTTTATTCCTCAACTAGAAGATCAGATGAAGTTTATTTCAGTGATTAAGATTTATCGAGAAGGAAATAACAAACAGCGCACTAACTAAACAACTTGCCGTAGATTTGATCCAAGAAACTTTAATTATTGATCGTATATAGTAATTTTGCTTATGAAGCGACAAAAGGACAATTATATTCTTGAAACTTATATAAACTAATAATCTGATCATAATAACGAGACAAGTCGAAGAAAAATGAGTCCGTGGCATATATGTAATTAAAATAAAAGTTTAAGCTAAATTTTGTAATTTTTTCGCAGATCTTTGTTACTTGTCATACACTTCATGTATAGTTTAATCAAATATTTTTCGAAGTTGTAATATATCATTGTTACCTTTATTCCTGCCAATTATATTGCTAGTACTAATGTGAACGTACGTAGGCTCGATTTTGAAAAATTATTAGCAGAAACAAAGTTGAACAGCTCATCTTCCCATGAACAATGACAGTATTTTTTCTGATTTTGTCAACATAAGTTCAATCTCAGATATTAAAATAAATGTTTCGTGGTGGCTTGGCTAAATCGTTGAACATAAATTAAAAAAATTAAATTTAGTGTTATTTATTACCATCCTGCTAAGCTTGTAGAACACAATTCTAAGCCGCCTCATTTTCATTCGATCAGATTCTTTGATACTTTTATTTTTTGTGGTTTATAGTTATTTAACGAAGACGACAATTAAGTTGTGTTTTTTTTTTTTTATGGTGAAAAATAAGGTGCATGTTTTAGTTGGCATGCCTTCATCAAGAAGACTGTCTAGATTCTAGAAGCAGCATTGAAGAGAAGTATAGTACCATCAAACCTGTAACTGAAGTATATATACTGATATATATCTATATATATATATATATATATATATATATATATATATATCAGTATATGTCTTAAATGCATATAAAGCTCGAGTTTAGCTGTGAATTTTATTTATTTATTTATTTTTCTTATTAATGTTATGTAGCTTCTTGATGAAAGAACAAAACTTGTTTTCTATTTGAAGTTGGTTAGGTTAGAACAAAGATTGCATGGATTGAGCTTTCTGAAGAAGCATGACATCTGTAAACAGAAGAAAAAAGAAGGAAAGATGCATCAAACAAACAACTAGTTAAATGAACAAAATGGCAAAACAAAGACCAAAAAGCAAAATCATGAAACAAAATTTGAATTTGAATACCAAAGCCAACATTTCTATAAAAAAAAATCTCAACTCTCTCTTCTTCCCCTAGCAATGCCAATTTGATAACCACTAACCTATAATTACATCTCATCTTTGCTATAGCTATATAACCTTACAACTCATTCATCTGCCTCTTCTTCCACCGATTTCAAGATTATAAAAAAGAAACACCGTCTTTATTCTCCAGAGACGTGCTTTCAAAAACAAAAACAAAAACCAAAAACCCGACCAACACCGCATTCCCCATCACATATAAGCTCCGTCATCCCCACTACTGTAAGATTCAATGACATCACTGTCGTCGTCGTCATCATCTTCATCTTCCTCCTCACCTTCCGTAACAATCTCCAAAATGCCACCACCGTCAAAATCCACGTCGTCCATTATGAAGTCCACGTCATCATCCTCGTCGTCCTCATCAAAATCGCTCGCGTCGTCGTCATCGTCATGGCTCATGTCATCACCATCTGAATCACCATCACCGTTAAAAGCCGCCTCCAAAATCGCATCGTCATCATCGTCATCGTCGTCATCACCTTCGTCTTCTTCCTCCTCACTCTCCGCATCATCAGGGTCGGAGTCGTCATCTGTCGGCTTGCGCCTACCGATCTCGTAAACCCTAGCGGACGAGTACATTTCATCCTGGTCGTCCATTGTGATCAAACCCACGAAAGAATCGGTGGGTTCCGTTGCAAAGTCAAGCACACAACGGTCAACGGGAGTTGTGGCAATGTCGGAATAATTAACGGCATCCACTGTGCGAAAAGCCGAAAAGAGAGGATGCTTCACACGACGCGTGTTGAATGCCGAAGTTACATCCTCCAGATTCCTCCTCAGAATTGCATAAATAACATCACCGCTCGCATTGAATGTTATTACTGTTTGATCCAAAGATGGCACACTTCGAAGGAGTCTATAGTTCCGAAGATCCCAAACCTCAGAGTTTATTATCACCTGTTAAGAAAAACGAATAATTTCAAAAAAAAAATCGCCATGTGTAATGTGTAATACGTGATTATAGCAAATAGTATTACTCATACCTCATTCCCAGCAGGATGAAAGCCGCCGCCACCATAGTCGGTAAATTGGTCGAACCGATGCACTGGAACCGGAACCCTATGATCCCACAAAACTCCATTCCAGAGCAGCATAGAGTCTGACGGGCTAAAGTGAACATGAGAATATTGCATGCCACGGCCAGAAACGTTGTTAGATGTATCTGTCAGCGTCCGATCCAGCTGGCACGTATGAATATCGTACAAAAGAATCTCTCTGCGGGGCGGATCTGCTCGTAATGCTGCAAACATTGCACCAGAATTACTGAATCTTGCGGTTTTGATTCCCTCAAACGAGTGCTTAGGACCAGCAGAAATCGACGATGCATCCCATAAGCGAACATCCATAGAACTCGAAGAAAGAAAAAGTTGCGTATCACCAGAGAAGTGTGACTGCAGAAGTGTAAGTGGAGATTGGTGACTGGTGCAACTCTCCAGCACATTGTTGCTGTTAGAGTCGAACACTTTAAGCTCCCCAGTGTGGCCACCGGCAGCAATCCGAGAAGGATCTCCAAGGAAAGCAATGCATGTTAGAAGGGTACTATTGTCATCTCGGCAAGTTCGCCATGGCCTGAATCTACTGTAAACAAATTGACGATCTTTACGATGTCCATGGATTCCACCGTGCATAGTTTTAAATTCACGTGTGCTGAGCCGAGACGTAACATTTGATGGAGCATCGAGGCTTCTTCTTGGTTCGGGGCAAACGTGAGGCTGCAAGAGTGAGAGAGGGGGTAGGGTTGTAATAGGAGCTGGGCACTGGCGATGTTGGTGCTTCAAATACTGAACAATAATGGAATCTAAGGTAAGGCGTTCAGGCACAGAAGGTTGTGGATCGCCGAAAAGTCCATGTTGAGTGGAAGTAGTCAGGCCATTTAATTGGTTCTCGTCGATTTCAGATGACGGTATATTAGAAGTTGGTGTGCAGAACTGGCTTGCATCGGGCTGTATTCCGCTTCTACGAACAGTAATAGGTGTGGTAAAACTAGGAGACTTAAGTGTGTTCTCACCAGTGTTAATTCTTTTTGCTGATGGGAGCGGCACACTCTCTTTCATGTCTGTCAATTTGCGTTTCATTGCTATTGGAGTTCTAGCCTGAACTTCCACATTGCCACCAGATTTTGAAGCAGATGCTAATGGAGTCCCTGCAGTATTTGCCGCAATAGAAATTTTTGGTGTGGTAATATTTGTTTTGCCCATATTGCCACCAAATTTCATAGCAGATGCTGATGGTTTCTTCTTCGAAGACAAGATAGCTGAATCACATTTAAAGCTGGAATCTTCCTGATGAAAAGAAACTTTTGATTTGCCCGTCATGAATCCACAAGGGGCACGTCCAGATGGCCATTGCATTTGTATTGACGAAGATTCCTGTTGAGAAGCTTGATGTGCTAACGATGATGGGGCAGCCAAAGAGGGCAAGGGTGTTAAATTTGCATCTTTGAGAAGTGCATCTGCGGCTACTGCTAAACCAGATGCTTGAAGGTGTTCGTGCACCAGGAGCAGGAGTTCCCTGAAATTTTGAAGGAAGGCTCATATAATGAAAACAATAAACAAAAAGAAACAGTATCCAAATATTGTCAAGAACGAGAGAATCCAATATACCTAGGATCGTAAGAAATAGGAGTAGCTGCAGCGATGGCAGCTCTTTCTATACGCCTCAAAGTCGGGGTAGCAGCATCGCTGGCTGCTAAGGTACTTGCCCGTCCAGAATTAGTTACAACCTTCAAATTGCAAAACAAAATCATCAATACAATGATAGATGTACGACTCTTGTAACAGGCCATACTTGATCCGCATAAAAAGAAAGAGTCCACACACTACTTATTATGCTTATAATATCACAGTTTAACTCACAGAAGTTCTGTTTTTTCAAGATATCAAATATATCATAGAGTATCATAGATCATCATTCAATAAAGATCCAAAAGAAGTGTCGCCAGTTTTAACCAAGAGAACAAAAGAAATATCAACAAATAAGAAGTGAAGGCAAAGCATTAAATATCACTCAATCAAGAGCCAGAAAAAGAGCAGCCTATCTTAAAGCCAAAATGTAAAATATGTTGAGGATATATAAGCACAGGGAACAAGAAAGAGCTAAAACTTTAAACTTGTAATTTTACTAGCTTCATTCATTCGTCATAAAAAATGACTTCATGCATATTTTACACATTTTATAAACTGCAATGTATAAGCTAATACCACACCCACAGACATTCAATTTAACCCTTCCCCCCACCCCCCCCCCCCCA